CATTTCCTTCTGCAGGGGGAAATGGATTCTGGCCTGGTTCTGCTGAGTGCCCTGGCCTGCAGGCACTTGATGCTGCCTTCTCCAGCATCACCCGACTGCATCGCTGAGGCTGGTAGAGCATCACTTCCATGGTGGGCTTCCACTGGTGAGGGGACACTCATGGAGTCCTCAGCTGCCAGGTCTCTGTTGTGCCCCAGTGCTGGAGAGGTGCTCTGGGTATCCATGTGCCACCTCCAGTGATGCTGGAGCATCTCCATGTGCTGCTCTGTGACTGTCGCTTAAAAAAAATGAGGCTGCTTTAAATGCATAGGGAATTTATTTTCTAGATGTTGGGTCTGAATATCTTGGCTCTTCAGATTTCCTTCACTTGGCTGACAGTCTTGGAGGACATCTCCTCCCTGATCCCTTCTTCCATCCTGGGGCTGTGATGGAGCTCTCAAGGGCCCCTCAAGGGAAGGAGAGGACTTGGAACACCTTTGCCTCACCCAACCCCGCATGCTTCAGGCTGATCAACTGGTCCTTCAGTCTTTCCCTCCTCTTCAATCACTAGTCATAGTTTTTCCAAGATGATCCATGCATTCCAAGCTTCCACCTGCTGCTGGCTCAGCTGGCATTGTTAGGGAAACCATGGTGGAAGGTGGGATGTTCATGGTTTACTCAGCAAGTAGGAGGCACCAGGACTGCATGCTTGGACCAAATATTCCCTGGTTTTATCTCATGTTTGGACGCATCCTCACCTGGTATAATCCAGTTCCCTTGGCTGGGAGCCCAGGATGCTCTCTAGAGACACGGAGACAGGCTGTGCAGCTGAGGTTTCCAAATCTTCCATGATCGTTAGGCAGCCTGGAGCTTACCCAAGCTCCCTGGTTCTCCAGGTGTCCTGTGGGGTGGCTGGGCACCAGGGAAAGGATTGCTCCTGTGGTAGGCATGTTTTGGGAGTCTGCATTCCTGCTCCCACTCACAGGGCTCCTGGTTTATCCCGTGGCAGTACTGGGAGACTGGACAACCCGGGATCCTGTTGGTGAATGCTCTGTGGGGTCAGTTGCTGGTGTTGTGCCTGGGCTGCTGCTTCCTCTTGCCTTCAGAGCTGTCCCCACCGGTGTCTCCCTCACTGCTGGAGGTGCTGTGCAGCAGAAAAGCTGCTGTTCCCCATTTCAGCCACCTGCCAGTAACAGAGCCAGGGTGTCCTACTGCCGGGGCTACTCCTGATGGTGCTGTCGCCTGCTGGCAATCTGCCTGGAGGCACAGCCAGCAGGAGGAGGGTTTGGCAGGTGAAAGTAGATGTGGCACATGCCTTTCCCTGGGATCTGGGACAGGCCTGCAGCTCCTGTGGACATGGTCTCACCCACCTCTGAGGGGAGCAGCCACTTCCACTCGCAGGACATGTTGTGGTTGACCCTGTTGTAGTGCTCAGTAGACACAAATGATGGGAATTTCCTACCCCAGCTCCAGAATTTGCTTTGTTTGGGATACTTAGAAGAGGTTGGAAAGGTGTCTCAATCCTCCCACCATCACTGAATTCCTTGCAGTTCTGTGGCAGTGCTTTTGGCACTGTGAGGGTTAACCACCAGGCTTTTTCAGCATTCATAGGACCGGGTGGAGATTTTCAGAGGTTCCCAGCTCTACTTTGCCCAACTCTCTAAAATTAACCATGTACCCTTCCTAAAAATACTCAGAGGGTAGTAGCCCCTGGAGAGCACCAGCACCACTTGCTCCTGGTTTCTAGACCAAGCCATTGGAGAGAATAGATCACCTGCCAGCCTGTGTCTCGCAGCCCTGGAAAGCCCTTGGCTTTCTCAAAGTCTCCTGCAAGGTACAATAGTCCAGGTCTTGACCTGAACCTGTATTTCCAGGCCAGCCTCCTTCCTGCAGCACCCTCCTCTTCTTCACTTATTCTTGTTGGGAGCTGGTAGCTGCCCACACATTTCTGCATGAGGTGACAGTGCCAGCTTCAGGTTTAATGTGCCATGGGCAGGAGCATTACCAGCTGCACCAGGTGCCTTGGGGGGGAGGAAGTGTCCATGGCCTTTCCCTGGAGCAACCCCTGGGCCTCCCCATGGGTGTGGGAGGCCCTGGCAAGGAGGAATAGCTGGGCCCTTCTCTTTTTTTTTTAAGCATGTGGGAGGAGGACGGAAAGGGCTTGAGGAGGAGGGAGGGAGCTGAATTTTCCATGAGCAGCTGTCAAAATGTAATCTCCTGCGTTGCTCCGGCTGGCAGCTTAGGCAGGATAAATTAACGGGGATTTCGGGGAATGTGGAAAATACCATGGCCTGGAGGGGGCTGACCATGTGGAGAGCAGCTCTTTCATCCTCGGGACAGGCTCCTGCCTGAACTCTGAAGGGATCTGCCGCTGTTCGGTGCTGGCTGTCCCCTGGCCTCACTGGCTCTCTGCCTATCACCTTCACCCAAAGGTCACCTGGAGAAGGGGTGAGGGAATTCACCTCTGCCTCCCCTTTCCCACTGGTGGTGGGCTCCTGTGCCTGCCATGAAGGGAAACACAAGCAGTTGCTTTTGCAATGTCAAGTATTTGTGCTGACAGCTGGGGTGTAGGGCAGCCCCCCGCCCTGGGGGCCTTTCCACACCAGCTCCTCACTCCTGCTCAGACTTGGGAATTTATGCAACTGCATATTCATCTTTCCTTTTTTTGCCCCTCCATCTTGTGAAATGCAGAGCCAGAAAAGTGTATGTGTGCTCCTGCACTTGGCTCAGCCCCCAGACCTGTCTGGCTGGGGGATGCCACATACATGCTGGGGCTTGAGCCTGGTGCCTCTGTCTGCCCAGTGTCCCCACGTCCTTGCCACGGGGCTGTGGCGGTGTCAGGAGTCCCGGTGCCCCAGCCAGCTGCCCAGGGAGCAGTGAGGAGCAATGAGGAGTGTTCATGCTGGCTATTTATAACCATGCTAAAGCTATCCCAGCTAGCAAAGAGGCCTGGAGATACAGCAACAGCCGCTCGCTGGAGCCCGCAAAGGACCCTGCTCTTTGCCTGGCCCTGCTGCTTTGCTGGCAGCCGTGCCCTGGCAGCCACAGACCAGGCAGTTTCATCTGGGGCCTTTTCCCTTTACGTTGGTTGCACGTCTCATAGGATCCCTTCAGGTGCTGCCGGAGGTGGCAGATCTGGGACAGCTGTTTAAAATAACACGTTGGCACAGAAAAGGGGGGACCGGAGGAAACGAGGTCTGCCCACACACAGCACAGGGAACAGTACTGAACCTCTACAAATGCCATGCCCTGACGCAGAGTTTGCAGACAAAATGCCTTTTCCAAAGGGAGCCCTTCACAGCCGTCCCAGGGACTTGCTGCTGGAAAGCAATGCCCAGAGCTCCCCCCGTGCCTGTGGCGCTGGCAGCCCATCCGCTCCAGGAGGGGACGGGGACAGGCAGGCTGCCAGGGCAGCGGGGCAGCGGGAGGGTGTCTGGCAAGGGGAGGCCAGTTGGGTCTTGCAGCAGGCAGGCTGGGAGGCTACCCGAGCTATCCACTCTATAAATACACCGGGCGGGTAAACACTTGGGAGGAGGAAAAAACCAGCTACTTCAGCTAATGGGCACAGCTGCCACAAGGTATAAATTGGTCAGGAGTAAAATTAGGCTGGAGAGAGAAGAAGGCAGATCGGTGCTGCTGCCCACGAGGCCCTGGCTGCGGCACTGCCCTATCGCCTGGGGCTTGGTGCAATTGGGGCTGCACTCAGAGCAGAGACCCTGTGTCCCCAGGCTGGGACAGGGATGTGTTCCCAGCATGGCAATGCTGCAGACCAGCAGGACACCCCACTGGAAGGATCCCTGGGCTTGAGAGCTCCTTCCTTTAGCAGGTCCTTTTAGAGCCAATCCCATACCATCCATGGTGCTCATCCTTGCTGCACCCTCCTGGGAAATAACAACACTCTGGAGGGTCAGGATCCAAGGACCTGGGAAGTAAACTGTATTTATCACTGCTGCTAATGAGCACTGGGGTGCTGAGAAGTTACAGGGGCTGTTTGTACAGTAGAGGTCTGAGCTGCCTCTCCTTAAAGCCACCCTGTACTTTCTCCCTTACAAGAAACAAAAAAAAAAAAAATGCCCTGTCCACATCCTCGTGGTGGCAAACAAGAACCTGATTCATTCTTAGATAATTTGTGTACATTCTTTTTCTTTTCGTTCCTGAGCAGCCTTCGCATATATATGAAGAAAGCTCTTGAGCAGCACTGCAGTCAAACCTGATCTGCTTTTAGAAGGCAGATCCTTAAATTACCCTCTCCCTCTCTGCAGGCAGGGAATTGCTGGATATTCTGGTGCAAACCCGTGGTGGTGGCACGCGCGTGTTTGGCTCCAGCTGCGCTGCTCTGCTGGGCAGTGACAAACCACATGGCCTCGAGCTGGCTGCAGTGGAAGGGCAGGGATGCATCCAGATGGGTGACCTACAGGGCTGCTTGGGGTTCTGCTCCTTGGGAGTTTGGGGCTTACAAACTGCGTTTGGGGCAGGCTCACTCAGTGGGGCAGGGGACGATGCTGTGGTGGTCTGCATGGCTCAAGCAGGTGATGACACTGATGTGACACCCTGGCACCACCCCAAGCAAGGTCACAGAGCAGATCTGGGCATCCCATCCAGTTTCATCCAAGAACCCAAATCACCAGGCGGGGCCAAGGTCAAGCTGGCTCATCAGCCTGCAGTGTCCCTCTGCTTCTGGCAGGCTGGCACTGGAGGGGTGAGCACCCACTCCACTCCTGTGGAAAGCTGGGCAAAGCAGCCGTTTGTGTTTGAGGCTCTGATCATCTAGTCCCCTGCTGCAGCCATAGGAAAAAACCCCTTTCTTGCAGCTTTTCTGGCTCAGCCACGTGGTGCTGAGCTCTGGCAGCAGGGACAGCACTGTCCAGGCACAGGGACGTGCCCATGCACTGCCAGAAGCTGGGTGCTGCGTGCCCTAGGCTGCTGCTCGCCCTTTAAGGCCTGGCAGCAGCTGCTGGCCACGTGTGCACTGTCTTGGCACACTCTGTGTGCCCTCTGCGCGGCGGGCACGGGGACGGCCAGCGCACCAGCTCGTCGGCTGTCCCCTGTTCGGTGGCTGTCCCCCACGCTGGCGGCTGCTGGTGACCGGCACAGGATGAGTGGGTGCCCAGTGGGTGCTGTGTGGGGTGAGGGTCACCATGCAGGCAGCAGGTGAGGGGCTGCCCGCTGCCGTGCCCCACCACGGCCCCAGGGATTCCCTGGGATGCAGGGTGGACGACTCCTGCCTTCACTAAGGGCTTGTCTCTCTGCTCTCCTTCCAGGTTTCAAGTGCCCCATTTGCTCCAAATCCGTGGCTTCTGACGAGATGGAAATGCACTTTATCATGTGTCTGAGCAAACCTCGCCTCTCCTACAACGGTAAGGACCAGGCTGTGTGGGGGACACGGTGTCCTGCCACCCTGGGATGGCTCTGGGCAGGCTGAAGAGATTTGCTGCAGGCAGGCGGCATGGCTGGGCTTCCCAACGAGGGCTGTGCTGCAGTAGGATGGTGCTGCTCCACTCTGCTCCCCTGTCATGGCTCAAGCCTGCTGCTTTTGCTTTCGGGTTCCTTTGTAACACAGCCCCCTATCCCGAGGGGGCCCCCTCCCCTCCCCTCTGTGCCAGAGAGAGCCCTGCTGGTGCATGTCCTCCTGGGCTGCCCCCCAAAGGGTCATTGCCTTCCTCCCCTCCTTGCTGAAGGCAGCTCATGAGGCTGAGCCCTGGCATCTCCCACCTCTCTCCTGACCACTAGTGTGGGAGTGATGCTCACCCTGTACTGGCTGGTGATTTTTTTGGAAGCCAGGGGTAGGGGCTGTGTTCACTCCAGATGCCCCAGACCCATGTTCCCCCTGTGCCTCTACATGAGCCTCCTGCCAGTGTTTTCCAGCACTGTTGCCATTCCGTCCCATCCCATTCCAGCTGCCCCCGCAGCCGTGACCCTGGGCTCCCCTCCATCCCAGGGAGGAGAATGCTGTGGTGGTCCCCATCTCACTGCTGCCCTGTCCTCCCCTCCCAGATGACGTGCTGACCAAGGACGCTGGCGAGTGCGTGATCTGCCTGGAGGAGCTGCTGCAGGGGGACACGATAGCCAGGCTGCCCTGCCTCTGCATTTATCACAAAAGGTACCATGAGGGGACAGCCAGGCGGGTGGCAAGGGGACAGGTGGGGACACCTGAGGCTCAGCAGCATGGTGGTAACGTGCTCTCCTCTTGCAGCTGTATAGACTCATGGTTTGAAGTGAACAGATCTTGCCCAGAGCATCCTTCTGATTGACCCGCCGAGCGTGCTTGCTGACTTCTCTCTAAGGTGAGCCTGTGGAGGGCTGCTCAGAAGGGATAATCCCATGCTGGGTTTAAATCCAAGGCTGGAAGTGGAGGATGGCATGGAATAGGGTGGGACATGACAGCCAGGGCTCCTGCTCCTCACCCGGGACGGTCTCTCTCTGCCTTTGCAGGGCACCTTGCTATACCTGCTGTACCTCCTCTCCCCGTCCCCCCCGCCCCGCCTGGAGTTTTGGGCTGACTTTAAATTCCTCAAGAAGACAAAAATAAAACCCAGAAACTTGAATCCACTTGGGACAACGGCGCAGTTTTTATTTTATTTTATTATTTTTATTTGTTCTGTTGTTTTTCTGCTTTTTTGTTTTGGTTTGGTTTTTTTTTTTTTAATTTAAAAGACTTAAAACAAAAAGAAACATCCAGGAGACAACAACAGTGTTGAGAAAAGCGGAGCGACCTGCTCTCCCCTCCACAGCTGCTGGTCACCAGGAGAGCTCTGCCTGCCAGGGAGGCCCCGGGGACGCCCTCGGCCGAAACCCTGCCATGATGTTTGGCTTTTCTCCCCGAAGCAAAAGGGGAAAGCTGCCGGGGGACAGCCGGCCAAACGGAGCACACGGCATTTCTCACCGGCAACCCCCCCACCTCCCACCCGGACTCGCCCGGGGGCTCTGCTCGGTTTTTTTGCACTGACTAAAACGGGAAATTCCTCCTCTCTCCCATCTCCCTTTTGGAGATCTCCACCCCGGCCCCGGCAGTGTTGAGATGGGGACTCTGCCCCACGCCGGGAGCGGGGCCACTGCTCCCCCCTGCTGAGTCGCAGGGGTCCGTCTTTCAAGTGTTTACAATGAGAAAAAAAAAAGGAAAAAAAAGGAAAAAAAAAAGAAGAAAAAAAGAGAAAATGGACAAAAAAAACCAAACAACAAACCACAACTGAAGCTTCGTGTTGACTGGCGTGTTCTTCAATTTGAGCTTCCCTGCCCCGGTGATGTTTACAGACTGGTCACTCTTTAACTCAGCTATAACCACTCAGAGACTGGAGAGCTGCAGCATCCCCGCCGCCCCTCCTGTGCCCCCTCGCCGGGCTCCTCTTGCCAAAACCGCCTCCCCTCTTTCTTTTCCATCGGCTTTGAGTTGGACCCTTTTGAGGAGGGTATGGGGAAGGCCCCAATGGCCCCCCCAGATGCCCCCAGCCACCCCTAGTCACAGGGGTGGCTTTGCTGGAGGTGCCAAGATGGTGTCATTTCATGGCAGTGACCCCCCTCGCCCATCCCTGTCCCCTCCTGGCGCGGCGGGCGCGTTTTCGTTGGTGAGACCTCCCCTGCCGGTGGCCGTGCCCCTGCGGGAAACCTTTCTGTATTTATATATTAAAAAAAAACCGGGGGAAAAAAAGAGTTCAGAGCTTGGGGGGAGCTTCCTTCATTAGTCAAGGTGTTTTGATATGGTATTAAAACAATGTTCAATAAAATATTCACTGTTATTTTATTTCACTGGCTTTCTTGGTGAAGCAGATGATGCCAGTGGGGTGCTGAAGCCCCCCACCCATGCCAATTCCCCTTCTGTGTCCCTGCCATGTGGGGATGGCCACAGTAGTGCTTGGCAGGTCCCATAGAGCCTCACCTGGCACTGGCAGCACTGGAGAAGTGGCTGAAGTGGGACCCTGAGGATGCCCTGCGCTGTGTCTGTTTTCTGGGACAGGGGCCTCCTGGGAAGGGGCTGGGGGGTCCTGTCCCCCTAAACAACTTCACAGCACGTGGACAGTGTGAGTCCAAAGGGTTTATTGGGGATATGAGGATCCCTGACCCCCAGAAGTGGGGATGAAGGGATTTGTAGGGGACACATACAGTGGCACTGCAGAGCAGCATGCCACCCTGGCCCTGACTTCAGGGGCTGAGGCTCCTCACTGTCAATTCAGTGCTGGTGCTCCCCCTCAGAGCACCTTGCCGGGGTTCATGAGGTTGTGGGGGTCGAGTGCAGCCTTGATGGAGCGCAGGGTGTCCAGGCCCTCCTGGCCCAGCTCCTCCTGCAGCAGCGCTCGTTTGCCCAGCCCCACGCCGTGCTCCCCGGTGCAGGTGCCCCCTGCTGCCAGTGCCCGCCTGTGGGACAGGGAGGGACGGGGGATGGGGACGTCTGTCCATCCAGCCCCGGCCCCCAGAGTACCCTGGCCCCACCTGCCCAGGCGCTGGGTGAAGGCGTGGACGCGCTGGGCCTCCTCCGGGTCGTGGGAGTTGAAGACGAGGATGCAGTGGAAGTTGCCATCGCCCACATGTCCCACCATGGGTCCTGCAATGTCACGGGTCAGATGAGGTGTGGCATGGACAGTGGTGACCCCCAACCCCCTCTGTCCCCGCCCTGCTGACCGGTGAGGCCGGAGGCCTGCAGGTCCTGCTTGGTCTCCACCACCACGTCAGGCAGGCGGGAGATGGGCACACAGACGTCTGTGGAGTAGCCCTGGCCCAGGGAGGGGAGAGCTGTGGCACTCACAGCACCCTGGGTGATGCCATCACCCCCATCCTTGTGCCTCACCTGGCAGCCGGGCCGCAGCGCCAGGGCAGCGTACCAGGCATTGTGGCGCATGGACCAGAGCTGCTCACGCTCCTCCAGCCCCTCCGCCCAGGCCAGGCTGGAGCCACCGTTCTGTCGCACAATCTCCTCTGACGGTGACCAGGAGCTCTGGGACAGGACCCACGGCACCCCCAGCCCTCACCCAGCCCTCACCCAGGACCTCCAGTGCCCATCCTGGGCACCCATCCCACATCCTGGGATATTCCCAGTCCCTCTGCCCCTGTCCCTGGGTCCCTGTCCACCATCCTGTGATGCCCCTGGTCCCCCCATCCCGTGTCTATGAGCCTCTCAGCAGATCCCCAGCACACACACACATCCCTCACCCTACTGTCTTCCCAGTCCCCATCCCAAGCATCCATTGCTGGTCCCCTCTCCATGGTCCTGGGCACCTATCCCTCTCCCCAGGACACCCCTCATCTCCCATCCCCTATCTATAGGCAGGCATCCATGACTCCAGTCCCCCAGTTACAGGCTCTGGGCATTTGTCTCTCGTCCTGATGACCTCAAGGTCTCCAATCCCCACCCAGCCCTGGGCACCCATCCCTCACCCCAGGACATGCCTGGTCCCACTGTCCCACGTCCTGGACATCCATCACTCATCCCAGTGCCACATCATGGTCCCCCGGCACCATGCTTCACTTCAGAGCCCCCAGCCCCAGACACCCTCTCCTCCTCCCTGTTCCAAGCCATACCCGTCTGCTGCTGCTGCTCAGCCAGGCTACGCCGGGAGCCGTGCAGCTCCAGGAGGAGCGTGGCTGCTGCTGGCAGCCCCATCCCACTGAAGCGGCCACAGGCATCTGCCATCACCTCATCCAGAAACTCTGGGTGGGAGGAGGCAGTGTTGAGCTTCACCACTGGCACCTGGATCCCCAGCCCCAGCTCTGGCCACGGGCACTCACCAATGCGGGCCACAGGCACGGCAGCCTGCAGCACATGGACGGTGCAAGCCACGGCCGCCCCCACGCTGGGGAAGGAAGTGACAGTGACAGCAGTGGCCTCAGGCAGCGGGTGCAGGCGCAGCGTGGCCTGAGTCAGGAAGCCCAGAGTGCCCTCAGAGCCCACGAAGAGCGAGGTCAAGTCGTAGCCGGCCGCCCGCTTCCTGCGCAGAGCTGGTGAGCGGGCACCCTCGT